TTTGTTAGACGACTGTTTCTGTCGTCCTTCTCTTTTGTCGAACCTTTTCCCGTCCGACTGTTTTATCGTACACAGATCAGTCGCCTGTATATATGCTTCTGCTTCAATCAAGGCCTCTTGAAGAGTCGCCACCCTTTTTCGAACTAAATCAAATTTGAAGGTAGACCCGTCTTTGAGACCTCTAAAAAAGTCAGTATAAGCTACCTCATCCGGTAACCCTTGAATCTGTATTCTCATCAGGTTGAACCGCCTGATGTAAGAACGAAGCCCCTCCTTCTCGCCCTGCTGAATTGTTCCCAAATCAAGGGTCGTTTTCTTCGCAGGGATGTTCATGGCGAAGTTGGAGGCAAACAAGTAAGCAAGCGTCCTGAAGCTGTTTACACAACCAGTCGGCAGGTTGCCGAACCATTGCTGTGCGATTCCCTTGAGAGTCGCTGGGAAACACTTGCACCAAGTGGGATCATCCAACCCTTGAAGGTACATCAGGTTGGTGAATGCCATCAGATGGTCTTCTGGGTTAGTAGTGCCGTCATAGGCGCCTACTAGTACATTTTTTACTTTGGCCGGCTGAGCGGCTTCAGTAATTTCCTTGGAGAAGGCCGACGGCTGTTCACCAAGTCTAAGCAACCGTAGCTGCCAGTCCATAGGTTGGACGTTTTTTGCTGCAGGTCCGCCAAATGGAGGTGGCTGCATAAAATATTGTTGTTGCGGTACAAACGGTAGGTTTGGTACCGCCTGGTCGCTATGAAAGCCTGACTGACGGGAGGTGCCGCCTGACTGACTCTCATGATACGACTGGGTATGCCTCATCGAGGTATTTTGTAAACTTTCTTGAAAATTTGAAGTAGAGGCCGACTCTGACAGTCGGTCACTCTTCTTCTGTTCTAACAGCAGACGAGCGTCTGTGTATGTTTTCTTCGACCCGTCCCCCTGAATGTGACGAACAGGTTTCCTATTTCCCGTAGGATAACGGAATTTTGTGAAATCAAGAGCAGGTGGCTCCCGCTTCTTGGATTTAGGATGAGGAGTCGCCTCTCGCCCTTGAACTGGCTTCCTCTTCAGTGAAGTGGAAGGTTTTTTGGCCGAATTCTCTTTGACTGAAGCAGGCGGCTTTTTGTTGATCAACTCTTGAATCTCTCCCTTGAAGTCCCTCATGAAGGTCATGAGTTCGTTCCTTGTGATGGGAGCAGACCCATCAGTCGGCTGTTGCCGAGCAGGCGGTGCGCCTGCTGGCTCGCTTCCTGTTTGAAGATGCTCCCGTTCCCTCCTTTCGGTATGACGGGTACGTCGGGCCCTTAGGGTCCCGTCTGGAGCTGTATGAGTTTCCACTTCAAATTCACTTTCGGTGTCATGGTCCGACTGATCTTGAGGGTCGTTTAGGGGACGCCTCTCTTCAGGAGTCGGTACAGACTTGGATGCCATCTCAGAAGTACTCTCCCCACAGACGGCGCCAAATGTTTCGGGGTTTTCTGATGTCCTGCGGGAGAGTTACAACACCGAGACTGGAACCGGCCGCCTGTACCTGCAAAATAACGGAGACTCCTGAGAGCTCCGCCTCCAACGGTCAAGTTAGTACCTGATTAAGGAGTAATTAATACGGAAATTAAAGTGGTTTAGTCTCTCTAGGTGAGAGTGTTTAATGTATAATCCGTGTGTTATTAGTGTTCTCCTTCTCTTAATGAGGATTAAGAGGAGTATTTATAGTCTTGAGAAGCGTGCCAATCTCTAGGTTTAGGGTAAACCTAGGGCTGACCGGGCCTCTAAACAGGATTGGGCCTTGGTGGCCGGTTTTCCCATTTGGCATGGGTGGACACGTGGCGTGTCTCAATTGGTCCGCAGAGGACGAATCTGTAATTGACACGTGGCAGGCTCCTATTGGCCTACGTGAAAGACACGTGGCGGAACCTGGTTGGTCCACTTGTCAGACGGTGATTGGTGGATAAAAATCCCCTAATCAGTCTGTATTGCTTAGATGTGTCACAGCAAAATGGAGCTTCAAGTGTTGTTTTAGGAAGTAATAATAGACATGTAGCAACTGCTACTTCTAATGTTTTTGCTGTAATGTCTAAGAGTGATGAGGCCAAATTATGGCATTTAAGATTAGGGCATATACCCTTAGAAAAACTGAAGTCAGTTAAGAATAATATTGATGTAAAAACCCTTGACAGTTGTATATGTCAAGTGTGTCCTGCTGCTAGGCAGCCTAGGTTACCTTTTTCCCATAGTGACAGTGTTTCTATTTTTCCTTTTCAACTCATTCATATTGATGTCTGGGGTCCCTTGTCCATCCCAAATCACAATGGTTGTAAGATGTTTCTTACTATTGTAGATGATTTTTCCAGAAACACATGGATACATTTGTTGAAATTTAAGTCTGATGCAGTAAGTGTGATTCAGAATTTTGTTGCTTATGTTCAAACTCAATTCAATACTTCTGTTATGGCAGTAAAAAGTGATAATGCAAGAGAGTTGATTGAGGGTGATATGCTTCATTTTTATAACTCTAAGGGCATTGTGGTTCAGAAGAGTTGTGTAGACACTCCACAACAAAATGGTGTTGTGGAGAGAAAACACAAACATATTCTTGAGGTTGCTAGAGGTTTGTATTTTCAGTCCAAGGTTCCTGCTCATTATTGGGGTGAATGTGTTTTGTGTGCAGTTCACATAATCAATAGAACTCCTTTAAAGGTTCTTGGTTTTTCTTCTCCATATGAAAAACTCTTTGGTCATCCTCCTATTCTTGATGAATTAAGGGTTTTTGGGTGTTTGTGTTTTGTTTCCACCTTGAAGCAGGGTAGACACAAGTTTAATTCCAGGGCTGAACCTTCCATCTTTATTGGTTACAGTCCAAATCAGAAGGGTTATAAAGTGTTGAATCTTAACACTAAGAAAATTTCTGTGTCTAGAGATGTGATTTTTCATGAAAAGGTTTTTCCCTTTCATCATTATTTACCATCTGATCCTGCTTCCTATTCTTCTTCTTCTTTTCATATTTTTCTTCCAGCCACTACTAATTTTTCTAACATTTCTTTTCATGATTTCCCTGACATTTTCACTCCACAAAGTGTAGCCACTTCACATTCTAATCCTCTTCCTTCATCTCATCCTCCTTCTCCTATTTTTTCATCTCCTCCTCCTTCTCCTATTTTTTCATCTCTTTCTCCTTCTCAAACTTTCATCCCATCTCCACCTAGTTCCACTACTTCTTCTGCTTCTATTCCTTTTACACCAGTGATTACTCCTGCTGCTACTCCTGCACCAAGAATCTCTGATAGACCAGTCAGATTACCTAAAAAATTCTCGGATTTTTATATTCAACTTCCTAAAACCAAACCTTTCACCACAAGATCAGCTCACATAAGTAAACATTGGTGCAATCTGGTGTGTTATACTACTCTTCCTGTCAAACAAAGGGCTTTTATTGCCAAATCTTCAGAGGAACAGGAACCATCTTCTTATAAAGAAGCTGTCCTAAATCCTAATTGGGTAGCTGCAATGGACAAGGAGCTGCAGGCTTTACAAAGCAACAAAACTTGGAGTTTGGTGAAATTGCCCCTTGGTAAGAAACCCATTGGATGTAAATGGGTCTTCAAAATAAAGAGGAATGCTGATGGATCTATTGAGAGATATAAAGCTAGGTTGGTTGCTAAAGGCTATTCTCAGAAGTATGGTATTGACTACATAGAGACTTTTTCTCCTGTAGTTAAAATGGAGACAATAAGGAGTATACTTGCATTGGCAGCTTGCAAGGGGTGGGAAATTTCACAGTTGGACATTAATAATGCGTTCTTGCATGGTGATCTACATGAGGATGTTTATATGAAGGCACCTGAAGGGTTACATAATCCTGATAACTTGGTTTGTAAGCTCACAAAGTCTCTTTATGGCTTGAAACAAGCATCAAGACAGTGGTATGAGAAGCTTCACACTGAGCTTTTATCTCAGGGGTTTACACAGAGTAAAAATGACTATTCTCTCTTTATTAAAAAAGGGCATGGTCATATTACAATCACTGCTGTCTATGTGGATGATATGATCATCACAGGAACTGATAGTGCAAGCATTCTTTCTCTCAAACAGCATCTGAATTCCTTGTTTGGTATCAAGGATCTTGGACAATTGAGTTATTTTTTGGGTTTTGAAGTTGGTTATACTCCTGATGGTATAACTCTTTGTCAGCAAAAGTTGGTTTTGGCCTGATATTTCTTACACTGTTCAGGTCTTGAGCCAGTATATGCAGAATCCTAGGGATCCTCATTATCAGGCTTTGCTTCACACCTTAAGATATATAGCAGGCACTTCTGGCCAGGGCATTTTGCTGCAAGCTACTGATCATATTACTCTGCAAGCTTTTTCTGACAGTGACTGGGGTTCTTGTTCTGATTCAAGGCGCTCAGTTACAGGCTATATTTTACTTCTTGGTAAATCTCCAATAAGTTGGAAGAGTAAGAAGCAAGGTACAGTTTCCAAGTCCAGTTCTGAGGCAGAGTATCGTGCTATGGCCTCAGCTTCTTCTGAGGTAGCCTGGATTGTCAGATTACTGGAAGAATTGGGGGTAGTTGATCTGAAACCTGTTACCCTTCATTGTGATAATCAAAGTGCTCTGCATATTGCAAAAAATCCTGTGTTTCATGAGCGTACAAAACATATCGAAATTGATTGTCATTTTACACGTGACAAAGTTCTTGAAGGTCTTCTTCAGCTTACTTATCTTCCTACCTCAGAGCAATTGGCAGACATTTTTACTAAAATTTTGCCTTCTGCCCATTTTAATCAGCTTTTGTCCAAGCTAGGTATGATTGATCTCCTCCCTAGCTTGCGGGGGGGTGTTGGTTATACTAGTCCACGTCAACAGGACTAATACAATTGTATAGTGTAACAGAATTTGTTTTATTCTTTGCTGAGTCAGCATCAATTAGTTGCGCTGCCAGTTAGTTAGGTGATGTACTATAAATGCTTCCTCTCCTCTGTATTTATGATTATTCACAAAAAATTAATAAACAAAAAATCTTCTTTCATTTTCTCTCTCTAGCTTTTGCTCTCTCTCTCTCTTGATACGATTAACAATCATCAAACTCTTCCATGCATCCACTTCACTCGAACCTCATGTACGTGATTATCTCACGCGCCACCACCTGGGCGACCCACCCGTGTGCATCATCTTCGACGTGTTCTTGGGCTGGGCCGATAACGTGGCCCGATCATTTGGGTCCACCGGAATCTGCTTCAACACTGGTGGGTCCTACGGTGTTGGCGCGTATGTTTCAATCTGGACCAATCTACCTCACCGGAATGTCGGTGATGATGAGGAGTTTTCACTGATTGGTTTTCCGGAAGATCGGAAACTCCGACGTAATCAGCTTCACCGGTTTTTAAGGTTTGCTGATGGGTCCGATGAATGGTCGAGGTTTTTCCAACCTCAGATTAAATCTTCCTTGAATTGTTCTGGGTGGTTGTGTAATTCTATCGAGGAGATTGAACCGCTAGGGTTTCAGGTTTTTAGGAATTTCACGAAATCTCCGATTTGGGGGATTGGTCCTTTGATTATAACATCTTCAAAAAAAAATGATGATGATGATGAGAAGGAAGAGGTTTGTTTGAAGTGGTTGAATCAATTTGAAAATGACTCTGTTTTGTACATTTGTTTCGGGTCACAGAATACAGTGACTCCGATTCAGATGATGGAGTTAGCAAAAGGTTTGGAGGAGAGTAAGGTCCCGTTCTTGTGGGTGATTCGGCCGCCATTCGGGTTCGATTTCAATGGGGAGTTTAAACCCGAATGGCTGCCGGAGAAGTTTGAGAAAAGAATGATGGAGAAGAAACAGGGGATGTTGGTGAGAGATTGGGTGCCTCAGTTGGATATTTTGAGGCATGAGGCTACGGGTGGGTTTTTGAGTCATTGTGGTTGTAATTCTGTATTGGAAGGTTTAAGAGAAGGAGTGCCAATAATTGGGTGGCCGTTGGCGGCCGAGCAAGCGTATAATTCGAAGATGATGGTGGAGGAAATGGGGGTTGCGGTCGAGTTGACGAGGGGGTTGGACGGGGAGGTGAAGAAAGAGTGGGTGAAGAGTGTGGTGGAAATGGTGTTGGATAGAAAGGAGGGGAGTTGTGGGTGGGAGATGAAGAAGAAGGCTGTTGAAATTGGGGAGAAATTGAGGGATGCTTGGAAAATTGAGGGAGATTCCAAAGGGTCTTCTGTTAAGGCAATGGAAAATTTTGTAGAGTTTATAGTTTCTTGGAAGGGAAAGAATTCTAAGGAAGATGCTTGAAATGGTAAAATGATACATCGATACGCGGATGTCATAAGTTTATCGACGTATATGGTGCATGTGTTGATGTTGTAGTGCAAACACGGTTTTATCTAGTGTGGAGTATGATTTTTTTAGTGGAAGAATAGTTATAGTTGTTAGAGTAGTATTAAACTGTGAAGTAGGAGCAAACAGCAGTATTTGTTTTAAGAATTCTGTTTTGCAGAGATCATATGTAATTTTAGATCATTGAAGATGATCTCAAATTCTCAATCATCGATTCAATGTTTTCCCCTTTTAGCATTGATATAGCTACACTGAGTTGAATGAGGGGTATTAAAAAGATGATTTGAATTTGTATGTTTTATCTTGTTTTGATTATTATAATTTAACATTCTTACCTAAACAAGGCAGGGAGAGATTTGTAGTTCATGTAGAGCATGCTGCATGCTGTATTTTACATCAATGTCTACCTGACTTGTCTATTTGTTCGTAATCATATTTGAATACTGTATTATGTTTGGCAAGGTCCTTAATGACAAAAGTATCCATTTGGCAATGCCTCTTCCCGACTATAAGCACATGATATTTCAATCTACTAACATGTGTTGTGCACACGCTATACACAAATGGAAACATTGTCACGATTGGGCAATATGGGTTAATTTCCTTTTGATGGGTTGTGCTAATAGACTAAATGACTAATAGAGGTAGTTTATTGGGCCTCCATTTAGCCCTTTTGCAGTTGGGCCCAAAGTAAGATGCCCTTTGGGCACCCAAACACACATGTCTACTTAATTAAGTGCTAGGCCTCTTCACTTTGGAAAAAATAAATAAATAAATGTAGAAATTAGACAATCTCATTAGGCAATGTAAGACCCTAATCATCTTCTCTTTGAAATAGGATAATATTCCAATTATCCACGTTAAAACGTTATCTTCATTAAAGTCAAAGCCAACATATGAAGATAACCATCATTGACTTCAAAAATACGCACAGACATATTCATACTACGTACATTTTGTGTATTATACTTTATACTCTCATTATTAGGTGAACTTATTGCATAAACAAAATCGGCCTTGATATACAAAAATGAGAATTAATGACTCAAATGTCAAAGTAGTGGTTAATATATTATTCCACGTATTAGAAAAATTAATTAAAATCAATATGGATGACAAGAGAAGTAGAAATAATACTTTTGTTGCATCATATATATATATATATATATATACTAATATACTTAGATATACAATTATCAATAAAATAACCTAATAAAAATACCAAATATCAAGCAAGATTTGGTCTAATGGTAAAACATTCTATGCAGATAATAAGAAGGAATTATACAAAATTAATTGGAGACTTATATATTGATGATGATTTGATGAATATTTACTCGCTCTTTGGTGTATATTATCATAAGTTCACTTTGCTTATGTCTTGATATTCATCATATTCTCACAAATTATCGCTGTATAATTTGAAGTTCAAGAAGTTTATTATTATATTTCTATAATACTCGTATGAAGTGTCAAAATTCAATCGTTGAAAATTGGCAAAGCCTAGAAAGGCCGCTATGACTTGCACATTATTGCTACGTAATAATATTAGAACTTGCACGTAATTGCTACCTATTAAATTTACTAAGTTGCTGCCTATAGGCTATAAATACATACAACCATCCCTCTACTTTTACATCACAACATATATAAACATTTAAATTATTTATACACTATATTATCAAGAAATACAACAATGGAGACTAAGAATACTAAAGTTTCTACTCTTCTATTGGTTTTTGGTAAGTTCATTGTTATTTTATTGCTTAAGATTAACATAACTACGCCCGCCTCATACCATGCGGTTTTCTTTAATTTTTTGGTATCTAGCTAGTATAGTATGTACGAGTGTACGACGTATGTAATTTTACTAAAAATATTTCTCATGACTCGTGATTAGGGTCTCCTAATATTCCATCATTTTCTTATTTGCAGGGCTAATATTGATGTTGGGAGTCGGAAACTTGAAAAAGGTGGATGCTCAAAGTGATGATGATGACAAAATATGTCCTCAGTTTTGCTATGATAATTTGGATTATATGACTTGCCCTTCAACAGGAGATCAAAAGCTTACTCCTTCTTGCAATTGTTGCTTGGCACCAACTGATGGTTGCATCCTTCACTTTAACAATGGAGATGCACCCATTGTTTGCTAGTTAAATTTGTCCTTGAATGAAATAATCATATGGATTATCAAGTCTTAATTGCTTTTATTATCTCGTATTAGTATAATAATAATGATTGGTCATAGCTAAAATGATCGAAGTTATGTTCATGCATTGGACTAGTATAATAGTCCTTGAATGAAATAATCATATGTAATTACATTGTAATGCTTGTATGTTAACGTATTGTTGTACGGCTTGTACCATTAATGAATAAGTTCATTGAAAAATATAATTTTAATTGTTCTTGATGTTGAATTTGATAGATCAATATTGTGGATTGATCATAAATGAAACAAAAGTCTAATAAGATTAGTTTAACTATAGTACACGATATAGCTTTTGGTTGATTTACATTACGTACATACTTTTTTTTTATTTAAAGAGTGAGCCACAAAAGACAAATGATATAAATGAGATTCAATTCATATCTTGAGCATAGTTATATGTCCTGGGATGAACAATAGGAGTTTAACCTTTAATTTATATATTTTTTGGAAAGTTATTAGGTATAATTTAGGTATGTTTAGCATGATATCTAATCACTTATATATCACAAAACTACCCCTAACGAGTCCGTTTCCGCTGCGTCAGTGCACTCCTACCTCTTCTATTCCATTAAATCTGAATTTTTCATTAAAGTGGTTTCTGAGCTTTTTCTCCTCCATTGAAGCAGCTTCTGAGGTTATTTATTTATTTATTTTTTTAAATAAATCATCGAATATCAAAATCATAATCTTGATTTTTTTTTTTTTTTCAATTTAATTTTTCAGTGTAGTCAATATAGGGTTCCTCCAATGTGAATAATTGAACTATTGATTTTAATTACTCAACAAATGAAAGATTATAAGGAGGAATTTCGTTGCTTGAATTTGACACAAATTTAAACGAAAAGAATTAGCGTGGTTTTTTTTTTTTTTTTTTTTTTTTTTTTTTTTTTTTTTTTTTTTTTTATTTTTTATAATTGAGTCAAATCTGGTTGCTAATGTGTTGCAGGATTTTGATTATATAACCCTTTAATGTTAAGAAAGTAGAACTGGTATTAGGCTATTAGCAACTGAAGACTAATACATAAATTGTTTCATAATTTCAAACAACATTGAATTTGGAGTTGAATGTCATTATTTACAGTATACTAAAGCATAATCGAAGTCATGTTGTAACATACTTCCTCCGTTTTAAATTAGATGACACGTTTTGACTTTTGACACTATTAATTAACTTTGCTTTGATTAACATTTGTGATTAATAGATATTAAAGAAAACATAGTCACGTAGGATCTAGTTAGATTTATTTCAATGTGTACTTAATTAAATATATTCAATTGAACGCTTACATTGACAAACGTAATAAAAAAAAACGTGTTATCTAATTTGGAACGGAGGAAGTAATATTTAGCAAACTATGAAATTCCTCAAACAAAAACTCAATAGTAATTCATGTTTGGTACAACTCATTGAACTTCCTTCTACAACTACTCCGGTTTTTATCAAACATATTTCGAAAAGAATGGAGTAGAACTTAAATGAACAAAGATTTTGCTTCTTATTAGATTGTGACTAAAGATACGGAGCATGTAGAATTCTACGAAGACTTCGTGAGACTACAAAATATTTGTAATCATTGGAGATCGGCTGCAAAGGATGCAAGCTTTCGAGCTTGTGTCAAAACATGATGTTCAGACGAGCATACACTACCATTGCTAATGCTACCAGAAATAGCCGAGTCTACGACAATGCGTCGTTTGTATAGCCTATCTAAGGACAAGGTTCTCCGCGTTGAACTTCCTACGAGTAGTTCTTTAAACATTCAGTATGACAAGAAAAGGTAGTTGTCTGCATATGGTTGGCTGCTCGTGTTATCGAAACGAGCCAAACACTTTCTCTTCAACCCTTTCACCAATGCCATTATCAAGCTCCCAAGAATTAACCTCTATATATCACAATGATGCATCAGATTTTAAATTGTGCTTATCAGCCAACCCTTCAACTACTTGTGATTTCACCGTTTTCATTTCGTTCTTTTTGCCTCTTTCAATTCTCCATGGCTGATACATATGTCTCTTTGTTGCACTGATGTAACATATTATAAAGGAGAGTTTTATGGCGATAATGAAGCTGCTTTAATTGTGAGATTTGAGACAGCCCAAGGTATTTATTTTCAAATCTGAATGTCTTTTGTAACGAATTTTTATTAATAGATTGATTTTTACTAGGTAGTTCTCATTTTCAAGCTACCAGTTCATGTGGCAGAGGGGGGCAAGTGTTATTTTACTTGGCAGAATCGCTTGGCCAATTGTTGGTTATCTGTCAAGTGGTTCGATATGTAGGGATTTTATCCCAAATTCCTGCCCCTAATTACAAGATTTCAAGTATTTGCGTTGGATTTTGAGAATTCAACGTTCAAGGAAGTGTTGAGATTGGGAAACAGATCAATTTTCATTGGTTCAAATTCTTCATATTCTGTCGAGGTATCGCCTTCTCTTGCTCAAAGTCATGGATTTAAGCCTAATTGCATATACTATATCAATAATTGGGGAGCAGTTGAGAACAGGGGAGTTGGACCTGGTGGCAGATGTCATTGTGTTTACAATGTAGCAAAGAGGGTATTTGATACATACAGATTTTCACAATGGTTTTTTATCCGATTTTGGCAAGCTCACACCGTTTATGTGGGTTGAGCCTCCTATGTACTACTTCCATTAGTTATATTATCAAAAAAAAAAAAAAAATACACCAAGTGTCATATTAAAGTTCTACTTTCCCTGCTTTCAAAAGTTCTTTCCATTTTATTTTGCACATTTTACTAATTCACATTTTGCAAGACTGTGGTAATTATAACACTTTGATAGTTTTAAAGTCTTTATTGAGATAAATTAAATAAGACCCATATGACTATGTTTATCATGTTTCAATAGTTTACCATTCACAAGAAGCGACATCAAATAACCGAACTTTTATCGTACCTTTTACAAGTGTTTGGGGTCCAAATAACTTATAATTGGGCCCAGTCCACAAATGAAAATAAATACAAGCCCACAAGGCAAGGTTCAACCCTCCATCCAACAAGCCAAGTCAGGTAAAGCAAGGCCCAGTTGAATGGCAGCCCATTTAACTCCTCAAGCCCAATCCACTCAATTGGAGCAAGGTATAAAAGCTCATATTTTGTACCATTACATTCATACACACAAATTGCCCAAGCAACAAACTCTCTTGCATAGCTTTTTTCTCATTACCTTACACTCGTACTGACTTCGGCATCGGAGGGGCCTTCCTCGGCACAACCCCCGAGGCTAGTTTACGTTTGTACAGCTGTGCAGGAAATCCTCAATTCGGCCATCACTCGAATTGGGCTTCATCTCCACTCATCCGAAGGACCTACCGAAGGTCCATTGTTTTCTAACCGAAACAATTTGGCGCCGTTTGTGGGGAGTCTTACAAAAATTTAGCCAAAAATCTCATACCAATCTTAGCCAACGCAAAAAATGACTAAGACTGCAAAAAGCTCTAAAAAAGCGAGAAAGATGGGCCTAATAACGGTAAGGACCGGTAGAACACCTTCACCGTCGCCTGAACCATCTGCTTCTAACTCCCCGAGAGGAGAAAATATGCGCGAGGGATCTCCCTCCCAACGGGAGTACCAAAATGGGAACTCGCCGAGGGAGAGTGAGGCTCAAAAGCGGAGTCGTTCACCAAGCATGCATTCAACTCCTCCCACCGTTCCTTCGACTGAAGAGGTGGCGAGGGCAGTGGCAGTCTGCATGGAGTTCATGAAAGCCCTGGGCGATCGCCTCCCATCCGTGCATACCACTTCTCCTCCACCCCCGCCGAAGTCAGAAAACCGGAAGAGAAAACTGAATTCGGGAGGGGAAGGGCGGATTCCACTCTCCAAGGGAGAGGGAAGCGGGAGAGCCGAAAGCCTGAGCAAGTCAGGACGGGAACGACGAGGGAACTCCGTTCACTTCGAAAATTCCCAAGTCCGAAACTCAAAGGACAATCCCAGCAGCAACAACGCTTCTTGCCGAAGCGTTTACGAGCGCCTAGGGGAAAGGGAGAAGGACATTCACAGTCGTCTCACTTATCCCGAAGGCTCTCACCCGGAGCTGTCACGCGGAGGGACACCCCTCACTTCCACTTCTCTAAGAGGGAGAAGTGAAGTTCCTTCGGAAAGACAAAAAGGGAAAGCTGTGATGGTTCCTACTAGTTCCCCTTTCTAGAAGTGGATGCTGGAGGAACATGTGCCGACAATCAAAATTCCGACACATATTACGTATGACGGTACTTCGGATCTGAAGGACCACATAGCCTCCTACTAGGGGCATATGTACCTTAACCCCAGGTCCGAAGCTACCTGGTGCAAATACTTCCCTACAACCCTTAAGGGTGTTGCCCAATCATGGATCACCAAAGGGCTGAAGGAAGGCTCCGTAACGGGTTGGAGTGATCTTGCCAACAAGTTCAAGAGCAAGTTTTCCACGGCTAACCGCCGAGAGAAAACTACTACAGAGCTCATGGGCCTGCAGCAAGCGGAAGACGAAAGTCTCCGAGACTATTTGACTCGCTTCAGCAACGAGTCGTCCAGAATCACAAGTCTGGATCAGAGCCTAGCCGTATTCGCACTACGGAACGGCTTACAAGCTGGTAAATTTCTGGATTTCATGGTCATGCATCCTCCGCAGACCTTGGAAGAAGCCCTCGACGCTTCGGATAAATTCATCCGAGCCGAGGAATGGAATAAGGCCAAGCTGCAATCTCAATCAGGGCTTGCAAAGCCAAAAGGGCAGCCAGCCGAAGTTCCAGGGTCGAGGAAAGGGAAGGCGAAAGCCTCAAAACCTCCCTGGACCGCAAAGCCGAAGAAGGATAAGGCTCCCTATCTGGGAAAATTTGAATCTTACACCCCTCTCACCTTACCACGTACTAAGATATTTAGTGCGACGAGGGAGGAGGAAAGATTCAAGAAGCCGAAGCCGCCTCCTTCTTGGCATCAGAAGAAAAGGAAGGACCATTGGTGCGAGTTCCACGAATCCCGTGGGCACCGCACCGAGGACTGCCTTCAGCTGAAGGACCAAATTGAAGAGCTGGTCTAGAAAGGGTACTTAAAGAAACATGTCGCAGAACGCCGCGCCGCGAAGAAAAGAAAGCTGAGAGAGACTCTTGGCAGGATCTGGACTACCACCGGAAAAGGGACAGACCTCCCGAGGGAGGAAACAATGACATCCTGACCATCTCCAGGGGTATTTCTCG